AATTATGACATTAAGGTAATGAAATGTATTGAAACTATGAATTGATAAATCAATTGTGATGAATGAAATAATAAATATTGTAGTTGATTTATAAAACATAAGATTTTGTACAACATATTAATTTTATTCTTTCAAATTTATTCAAAACATTAACTTACACAATTTATGTATATTTCTTCTTTGATTTGAAGATAACAATGAATGATATTCATACAATAAACAAAAATATTTCTTAATAAATTAATCGTCTTAGAATTACAACATGTTCATTTTCAGTAAAAGACATTTTCACATTAACACACAGAGAAACAGAATAACTGTCTTGAATCAAAAATACATTTTTCTTACTAATAAACATTTTCTTTGATTCAGTTGAAAGTAACCAATTAAACAACATCTATCTATTTTTTTATTAATGAGTTTGTTTATATTAACCAACAAAATATATTTGTAACAATAATTGTCTATTTAAAAATATTCGTTGTTGCAGAATATGAAAGAAAAAAAAAACAATTCCATTTTATAAATGTCATTAAATGATATAACACTCAATTATATAATTATTATTTCCATAATTCTTTTGATTTATAATCAATGTCATCTTAACCTTTCAGTTGCTTCTCTTTATAGATTAACCAACATAATGTCATAGTCCAAACACCAAATAAAAATTATATTTAAAAGAATTATCCAAAACAGAAGAAACACAAAATGGAAGGATATTGAAAGCATCATTTAAATTGAAAAAAATGTGTTTAATGTTCTCGGAAAATGATGAAATTTTCATTGATATTATTTATATTCAAATTTAACAACTCATTTTTATGGTATTAACATTCTATTTATTAGTTTTATTATTATTTTATTTAAATTATGAAATGAAGAATAAAACATCATTATATATCATCATTCATTAAATTTAATATTCATTTTAATTTTTTATAATACTAATAAAATCGAGTTATTTATTTAAATTGATTGACATATGGTTATTTTTCATTCATATTTATTTTTTGTTTATGAAAAGGTGTTGAATAATATTTCAACAAGATTATAATCATTATAACATCAAAAATGAATAATAAACTAATTTAATATGTGAATTAATGAAGAATAAAATATTGTATTAATTGAATCATCACAATAAATAAAAATCCAAAATAAATTAAATATTTATAATGAATTAAAATGATTCTTCATTATTCATTTAAATATACATATATAAATGAATACAGATGACAGAATAGTCAATATTTTTAAAAATATATAATGATACATTATACAAATGATAGAATGAATAATATAATAACAAGAATAAAAATAAAATACAGAAATACAAATAATAATTCATTTCTTATTGAATAAATACACATTATTTTCAAATATGATAATTCAAAATGATATAAAATTCAAAATGATAAAATAATATTATTAAACAGCATTGAATAAAAATATTTATGACAAATTGAATTTCATAAATAAACTAAATTAATAATAAAATAGAAATAATAACAAATATCAATATGAAATAATAATAATGAATTCAATTTAAATGAATAACAAATATAATGAATAACACTAAAATGAATAGAAATGAAATAAAAATAGTTGTAAGTAATTCATAACATTACAAATTCAGAATAGGTAAAGATTAATTAAATGAATAAACTAATAAAAATGATATTTGATATTAAATTATTTTAATATAACGTAATTAACCAAATATAAATAAAGAAGAATTAATTCAAGTTGGATATAAATAAATAAAATTACAATTCATAATTATAGAAAAATTGATGTGAATTAACTATTCTTTAAGAATCATTTTACATTAATTTTTACTTGGAATTTATTAAAAAAATCCGAAACAGAAATCCATGAGATGGATTATTTTGAACTGCCATAAACAAACGAAACAGGAAAATCACAATCCACTAAAATTGAATTTATTTGTTTTATTCTTTACTTTTTAAGAAACAGCAAAAGACTTTCTTTTAAGATAAATTATAAATCTCTTTAATTTTCGTTACATTCTTCTTCAAAATTAAATCAAATGTTTTTAACAAAGTCGTTTATTTTTAGCAAAATAAATAGATAGTCTTTTTTTAAACGAAATCCCCAATTTTTTTAGTTTCATTAAAGCCCTTTTCTAAAAATTTATCTAGCAACCATATTTTACCTTAATAGTTTTAGTATTTCTTTGTATATTAAATGTTCTTCAATAACTTTTATTAATTTAGTTTGAGTTATTAGGAAGAAAAAAGAACTCTCGATATAAGGTTTAACAGATTCATCTTCAAAAGTCATTTTGGAATATTAGCTATTATGTTCATAATACTAATAGGTATTTTCGAATTACCTTTTTTTAATTCTAATGTTGTTGTTTTGTTTTTGATAATATTATGCAGCTTCTTTGTTACTGGTGAAATTTTGCATGAAAACATTGCTAATGTTGGAGTTGAACAGCGCCAACGAAGAGATCAACATCCATATAATTTATATGAACGTATTTTAAGATATACATTCTTTATATTGAAATTTATTATAAAAACAATTATCAAGTGCATTGTCAAAATATGCATTAAACCACTTCTTATATATTTAATTCAAAACATTAGATGAGAACTAACTTAATTTATTGTTTTAGTTTGTAAACTCTTTATAATAATATATAAATGAATAAATATATAACTAACCACATGTTTCATTCTTTAAAAATAAGTGATGAATAATTATTTATTCAATTTTAATGTATCATACCATTTTAAACACAAATCATCATAATTGTTTTTTCACTGTAATGTTTATTGTTAAATCGTTTTATTTCATAAACGAATAAAACCATGGGAAAGCATATTCTGAAATATTTATAATAATATATTGAAACACTTAAGTACAATTTAAACACAATAACAACAACAAAACTCCTTATAAAATTCATTCTTTCTGTAGTAATACATGCTTATTATTCATTATTATAATACATACTTCGCTAAAAAAAACATATCTCAATTGTTTACAAATAAGTCATGATAAGAGTATTTGTAAAAACGCATAAACTTTTTTTGTTTTATTATTAGTTATTTATTAGTCTTCTATAGAAAATGTAATAAAAAATAAGACAATGTCTTTAACACTACAAACAAACATTTATATTGAATCATCAAACCATATTTGACCTTTTCACTATTTTATTATTTTAATGAATGTATATATTGTCAAAAATGATAAACATAAAACCCACATTAATTTAATATTAATGGTGTTGCATATAAACAAATAAATAGTTTAACTTCTTTTAAACAATGAATTATAAGTTTTGAAATATCACAAATTAACAAAAATACACAATAAAATAATAAAAAAATTAATTAAGTGTTGCTATTTATTTCCTATTGTTATTTGATCTAGTGAAACTAGTCAAATCATTGTACTTAATATTGCTTAGTCAATGACTATTAACTTATTATTTTGTTTTTAGTCTTGTTAAGAAGTATGATTTTCTATTTTTCATTCTTTTATTTACATTGAATTAAAGTCTTTTCAAATATTATTAATTTAAATATTCTTCATTTAAATAACTATATTAACTTGATTTTTATTTATTGAATACTAAAAATAACCAATCTTTTCTTTCTTATTTTATGATGAATGAATATATTCCTTACCACCATATTATTACGTTTAATTTGAATTATCATCACATTGATCATTTTCTTGATAGTATGTCATGTATTCAAAACAATTCATTCATTACTATATATATTTTTTGAATGTTGATAATACATAATACAACCATAGTTATAAATACCCATAGTCTATTACAACAAGTAATCCTCCATCCTAATAACTCATTACATTGTTTACAATATTGAATACTCCATTTTCTATTCAAATTAAATATTGTAACCGTATAATAAATACGGCATTCAACTATTTTTATAATTATTTAAATAGTTCTGTGTGGAATTTCTAATTTGTTAACTTCAAGTCAAGAAAAAGAAAATCAAAAATAGAATAACTTTTGAAATTAGAATCATACTATTAAAAATAAAAAAATGTTATTTAAAACATTAATAAAGATATAGAATAATAAAGAAAATAGAAATAAAATAGAAACACTCTTCGTTCTAATATAATTTATTTCTCTTATCCAACATTAACATTTGAGTGTTGAAATATGAAAAATCAATCCTGTCACAACAAAAAATAATTATTCATCTGCAATGTACTATTAAGAAACTAATTTTCTGATGTTATTATTTGACTGTTTTTTCTTTTATGTTATATTCCATATTATACGACATTAACAACCAAGCTTTAAGTGACTTGGGATTGAACTAATATTAGTAAAAAAACTTAAGTATATAAATTGTATGTATAATTCTTCATCTATTTGCAACAATCAATAATGTATCAACACATAATTATTTTTGTTAGATTATTTCCATTATAGAAATAACATTTTCAAATGAATAAAAATATGATTAAATAACCTTCAAAGATTATTTTAGTAACTTCATTTATACGTAATAGTTAGGACTTCATGTATAATTATTTTTTAATTGAACTAAAAAGAGTATTAGTAATGATTCAGTTTAAAAGAAATTGAGTGTCTAAAAGAATTATTATAAATAAATATTTTCTAATACAATAAACAGACAACAAAACAGAAATTGAAATTGGTTTTAAACAAGTTTTGTCTTATTCTAAAAATGTTTAAGTAATAAGGAATACCGATTTTCATATAAATAATAAATGTTTATATTCAAAAGAGTATCAATTATAAGAAAGAATATAACATTTTATAATGTCTTATAAAAAAAATTTTATTTAAACATTATGATTTAAAAAGTATAAAACCACAACCTTAAAATATCAGAATTGGAGAATTTTCTTTATTTGATGGTTTATTACTAAATACCTCTCTTCTAATTTTGGACAATACCTTGTTGTTTAAAAATTAATGACGTAAAATAAATTAAACAAAAACATAAGAATTACTTCTTTAAATAAATTTCGAGGAATTTATTTAAAGTCAAAGGCTCTTCTCCTATTTTTTCAAACCATTTTGCAATTTTCTTTTCATTAAGTCCCATAGACTTTAATAATTTTGTTGTTTCATCTCTTTCCAATAGTCCACTCTTATCAGAGTCAAGTATTTTAAAAATAGCTTCATAAAATCTTGTTTTAGTTAAGCATCTAATGGTAACATCATTTCCAGCAACAGCACAAGCAAATGTTGCAAATTGATTTTTATCAATTTCACCTTTTCCAGTTTCATCCAACAATTTGATAATTATTTCAGGTGCTTTTCGTTCATCAACACCATCTGGATACATTTGCTTAAATAACGTTTTAAGTTCTTTAACAGAAATCATACCAGAATGATCTTTATCACCTTTTTCAAATAAAGCAGAAAATACTTGTTGATTGTATTGTTGAAAATCACTTGGTGGAATAACAATTCCAAGGAATTCCATTTCGTTAATTTCTCTCCCTCCTAATAACCCACAATATTCTTTAATTTTCTTAACTGCGGATTTAATTTCCTCATTAACTGAGGAGTCATTAGGTAATTTATCTAATGCCTTAGTAATTTCTTCTGCACTTAAAGAAGCATTTCCATCTGAATCAATAGCCCTAAATAAAGCCATCATTGTTGTAAGATTCTTGCTTTGACCTTTTTGACTTTCAAAGATTTCTAAACATTTCATTAAATGAAGAAACTCTGTAATATCCAATGCCTTATTTTCATCAACATCACACAAATCAAATAAGTAATTCTCAAATCCAATTTTATATTGAGGATCTTCACTTTGTAAAAATTGAATTAATAAAGGAAATAAGTCTTCTTTTCTTACTAATTTGTCTTTATCCTTATCACAAAATCCATGAACAAAGTGTGCAGCAAATTCACACATCAACAATTATATTTTCTTTTTAAGTTCTCTGTCTTTTAATTTCATTTTTTAAGTTTTCATTAATGATAAAAAAGAAACTATCTTCATATTATATCTCAATGAGGAATCTCTTAAACAAAAAAATTTATTAGATTCTCTTTTTAAAAGAAAAAATAATATTTTGTTTTATATATCAAAAATTTATTGAGCACATCAATTCAATTACTATCTCTTACTTCTTCTTTCTAGATGCTTTCTTCATTTCTTTCTTCTTATAGTCTTTGAATGAATGGCACATTCTCCATTTCTTCTTATGTTCCTTTCTAGCTTTTCTTGGTGCTTTGGTCTTCTTATCCAAAGCAGCTCTAATTAATTGATGTTTTGGAACAAACTTCTTTAAAGCAGAAAGTGTATCATAAATCAATGCAAATCCTGAAGTTTTTCCTCCTCCGTACTTAGTGACGAACCCATTAAGAACGATAGTTTGAACATCTTTTACCTTGTACATTTTAGCAAGCTTTTCTTTAATTTCGGTAAATTTTGGTTGAACAATTCCTGGATGATAAATATCAACAACTACTTGCTTTCTGCAAAGTAATGGATTAACTATCAGATTTCTTGTTCTGATAGTGACTTCACTCTTTTGGGTAGCCATCACACTAAGAAATCTTAATTCTCCTTTATACCCTAACTTATTTTTTTCTTTATTTTTTAATGTTTTATTATTCTTTTTAATTTATTTCTTATTAACCATTTCCCTAGTTTTTTTTTTCTTTATTTTTTAATATATCATTTTTTTTAATATAAATAACAAAAAAAGATACAATTAAATAGTTTTGTTCTTATTGTTGTTTTTTTGATTCTACTTTTTCAAGAATTATTTTTGTTGTTTTGTTGTAGTTATCAATTGATTTTATTATTTCAGTTTTCATATTATTAATACTAATGTGTTTCTTTTCACATTCACCAAAAAGACTGTTAATGTCTTTAATTAACTGAGTCATTTCTTCATCTTGTTTTCTTTTTATTTCAATTAATTCATCAACTCCATAAATTCTTCTTACGTAAGGTAGTTCCACAACAACACTGTCACAATCAAAAGAGAATTTTAGTTCACGTACTAAATTCTCATAATTCCGATTAACTGAATTAATCAATTTTCTTTCTTGAATAGTAATATCGTCTATCATTTCATGTATAGTATTAACAGTATTATGAGTAAGATTTCTCAAGACTTGCCTGGCAAGAAAAATGTCATTATCTTCTGTTGTTCCTTGGTCATAACTATCATCTATTACTTCTCCATTTTGAAAAGTAATTGTCCTTACAGAATGGTGTTCATCATCAAAAGGTTCAGCTGGTGGATGAGGTTGTTTTTCAGGTGTTGTTGGTTTAGACTTTCCTTTACAACAACTTTTTTTTTTATTTTGTTTTGTTCCTCTTCGGTGCATTAATCACTTCTTCACACCAAAATTCTTTCGTTTTGAAGTTTAATTTTTGGCTTTTTATTTTTTTTTTATTTAGATACTTTGAATTTAAAGAAAATTACGGAATTAAATATTATTTAATATTTTTATCAACAGACTCAGAACTGGCTGCCCATTCTGACTGTGACCGAGTAAGTGTTCTTTCATGACATGACTTTCTGCAAGAAGATAGCCTTAATGATTTTCTATCACTAAAATCAGGAAATAGTTCATAATAATTGTCTATTAGTGCAACAAAAAATGTCTTTAATTCATTAAGTCTACAAGAGAACACAACTGGACTTTCTTGTGGTATTTCAAATAAGCAAGGAATCCATATAGTAGCCAAGTTTTGAGCATTCATTTTATTAGTATCTGAATAAGTATTAATTTTATATAACAATCCAAATAATTGTTTTATAATCATAATATTATTCTTTGGTAATCCTTTAATAAAACTTTTTAATGTCCCAATATTATAAGCTTTTATTTTGTTTATTGAAAGGGCTTTATTAGTATTAATTCGATTAAATACTTTTTCAGGAAGATTTCTAAAGAATCTTTTTAATACAGCAGCCATTAAAATGTAATCTAATCCTTCGAAGTCGATTACACCTAGTCTATCATAAACATCTCTAATATCTTTTTCACTAGGAGATAGTCTAAATATACCTTCAGTAGTATATCCATTTGCTTTAATATTTTCAATAATATTTTCAATACCAGAAGGGATTGAACCTTCACGTTCTTCCATTGTTAAAATTTCGTCTAAGGTTTTACCTTGATAACCACCTTGACACCTCTTGTATTTCATGAAATATTTTGTTTTTTCTATTCTTGCTTTTGTCATAGTTTTTGTAAAATTTTCATCTCCACTAGCACTAATAGACCCATCTTGAAATGCTCGATAGATCGCTTCCATTGTTCCTCCTAATTTTAATTTGAATTCCCAACTACCTAATGTTAATGTTAATTGAATTTTTGTTGCATCAGTAAATTCTTGATTTGGTTGACTCCACCAAGACCAAATATTCCATTTACTTTGAGAGTTATGAGTTTGTAATGAATTAAATAATGGATTAATATATATTTGTTGAGTATCAATAATTGATTGGTTAATGCTTTGGGTAGCTGATTGAATGTCATAAAATATTTCTGATAATTGTTGTTGTGTTTGTGCAAAAATTAATAACGGTTCTAACATTTTTGACTTTAATTGATTCATATTCGTCATTTCTCTCATATTTCCCATTTCTTGTAATTTACTTGAAAAACTAGCCATTTCAGTATGAAGTTGTTGAAATAATGTAACAATAGTACTAGTGTATTCTTGTAAACTATTCATACAGTCTCTTAGAAATGTGGTGTCTTCAAGATAATTTTTAATTTCATTTGCTGATAATCCTTTCATTGGTTTAATTCTAACTTAATTTTTAAGTTTTTTATCACTTTTTTGTAAATATAGTTTGTTGTTTTTGAACAATTTATAACCAAACTCATTTCATAAAACAAAACATTCTTATGTTCAAACAACCTTAACTTTTCAATAATATGTTGTGCTAAGAGAGACATGAAAATAATTCATTTCTCTAAGAAGAGAAATTATAAAAAATATAATTTTATTATTATAAATATAGTTTTGGAATAGCTTTGAAGTATAAGAAACTATATTTATTAATAAAAAAAACAAGAAAAAAAAATAAAAAAGAAGTCAAATAAAACAACCCTATAATCTAAGAAATTGAGATAGCTAAGGATGGCCTTACACAAAGCTGGTTTAAGTAAAGAACAAAAGAAAGCTAAGAAAGAAGCATATCTTGTCAAGATGAAAAAACTCTTGGAAGAATACAAACAAGTTGTAGTTGTCAAATGTGATAATGTAGGATCATCTCAATTCCAAACTATCAGAAAAGAATTAAGAGGAACATGCGAATTTGTTATGGGAAAGAATACTCTTATTAGAAAAGCCATCAAGAATCAAGCAGAAACTCAACCAGAACTCGAAGAACTTCTTCCACACATTAAAGGTAATGTTGGATTCATCTTTACTAAAGGTGATCTTTATCAATTAAAAGCTAAACTTACTGAACTTAAAGCACCATCACCAGCTAAAGCTGGAGTTATTGCACCAAATGATGTCATTGTACCAGCTGGTGATACAGGACTTGATCCAACACAAACCAACTTTGTCCAAGCATTGAACATTGCCTCAAAGATTACTAAAGGTCAAATTGAAATTACTTCAGAAACTCTTTTAATTAAAGAAGGAGAAAAAGTTGGTGTATCACAAGCAGTTCTTCTTCAAAAATTAAAGATTAATCCATTCAAATATGGAGCTGTTATTGATGTAGTTTATGATAACGGTATTGTTTATGATGCTAAAGCTCTTGATTTAACTGAATCAGATATTGTCAAGAAATTCCAAGAAGGTGTTCAAGCTGCTACTGCTATCTCTCTTGCTGCCAATCTCCCAACCGAAGCAGCCTGCCCACATCTTATGCTCAATGCATTCCAAGCTCTCCTTGGATTCTCAAAAGAGAGTGGTGTTGTATTCCCATTGGCTGAAAAGATCTTCAATAACATGACTGCCGTTGCTGCTACTGCTGTTGCTACTGAAAGTAAAACTGAAGAAAAGAAAGAAGAAGCCCCAGCTGCTAAAGAAGAAGAGGAAGAAGAAGATTTTGGAGGATTTGGTGATTTGTTCTAAGCGATCTCTCATACAAAAACACTTTTAAGAGACCATATTTTTCTTTTTGTTATTTTTCTGTTAATTTTTTAAAAAAGGAAATAATTTTTTTAAAGAACTATGAAACATTAAGTCTTTCTTTTCTATGGAACAATTAGGTAATCCTATTGGACTTAATATTTCTCTTAGTATTTTTAAAGATACTTATTTGTGTGACAAAGAATTAAATTCACTTAAAAAAACTGCTATTTTTAATGGACTAAGTGGGTTATATCTTAGAACTATTGCATGGAGAGTATGGCTTGGGGTATTACCAACTCCAATAAGTATTAATTGGGTAGAAGTTATTAAACAAAATAGAGAAAAGTATAATTTATTAATAAAAAAATATTTTGATGGGGATAAACAACGAGATAATAATACAGAAAGTGATGAAGATATTAAAGACTTAAATTGTAGAATTAATAAAGATATTGATAGATTATTTAATATGTATGACTACTTTATGGATGAAAATTTTCGTAATAAAATAAGAAGAATGCTTTATATTTATGCTAGAGAACATGAAAATATGAATTATCAACAAGGATTTCATGAACTAATAGCAATTTTATATCATTCAATTGATTTTGACTTATCAGAACAAGTTCATATTCAATGGAAAAATGAATCAAGTTTTCCAAAAGAGTATATTCCAGTTGTACAATGTTTAATTGATAGGTATTATATTGAAAATGACTGTTATATTCTATTTGAATGTCTTATGAAACAATTAGGATTTGTATATGAAATTAAAAGAGAACAAGACAGAAATGAAACAAGTGTAATTCAACAAAAAAGTGATGAACTTTTTGAGAGAATAAATAATATAGATAAAATTTATTACGACGTATTAATCTCTCATGATATTATTCCATCTGTTTTTGGGATAAGATGGATAAAGATGTTATTTGCACGTGAATTTCATATTGAAGATGTCGTTGAAATATGGGATGCAATTTTTGCTTATGGAGAAAATTTAAAATTAGTGGATGGTGTATTTATTTCAATGATGTTGTATGTAAGAAATGACATAGTAGAACGAGATGACCCAACATACACTCTTCGTAGATTAATGAAATTTCCTCCAGTTTTTGCTCTTCGACCATTAATTGATATGGCTGTAAGTATCTGTGATAGAACAAGTAAAATATCTTCAATTCAACAACAAAATCTTGTTAATTTTAATCCAGTAAAAGCAAAAAGAGAAAAAAGAAAAGCTGCTAAGTTTAGTGCAGAAAAACAGCATTTATCAATATCAAAAAAAGAAGATATTACCCCTTCAAATCAACAATCCTCTATTCCTGTTGTTGGTCATAAAAAAATTGATAAAGGTATGAGCAGAAACAAACAAAAGCTCATTGAAATTTATAATAATTTAATTGACCTTGCAGGGACAACAAATAATGACCATATTCGTCTTAAGGAGATTGAAAAGATGGTAAATGATGTAATGAATGATTTGTGAGGTATGTCAGTTATTAATAACATTAAACAAAACGATAAATAACTTTGAAGATTTTTATAAATCATATTATCGTTCTTTTCGTCTCAAAATATAAAAAAAGAAAAGTATTTCCTTCAATTTAATTTGTTTATTATTTTTGTTGATTTTTTCTTTCATATATTACTTTTTCAAGAAAAACTAGAAAAGATGACTGTTAATTTTAAATGTCAGTAGTTAGTTTAAACGTTCGTTTTATAAATAAAGGCTATGCTGTTGGAGAGAGGTTACAGGGTTTTCTCCTTATTAATGTAACAAAGAGGGTAATTGTTAACCAATTACATTTTAACTTAATTGGCGAAACTATTTTGTCAAATAATGCTTCAGACAAAAAAGCAATCAAAACAGTAACCAAATTTTTTACTTCACGTAATTATCCTCCATTGGCAGAACAGTCTAACGTTTCTTGTGAACCATTTTATCACGAATATTTTCCAGGTACCCATGCAGTACCATTTTCAATTATCATTCCTATTGTCCCACATCCTTCTTTACACCTTAAGGGGGAAGTTGGAGTAAGGTATCGATTACAAGCAACATTACAAATTGTTCCATTGAAAATAAAAGAAGATTCGGAGAAGACAATGGCATTATCAACATTTACATCATCAAATGAAGTACCAATTATTTATTGTGTTAAAGATGTTTTTGATGTAAAGAAGCCAGAAGAAGTATATAATAGAGACCAAGTATTAGTAAGAATGAGATGTACAACTGGAATTAAACCTAATGAACCTATTAAAGTATTTGTTACAATTAGTAATAATACAGGGAAACCATTAAAACCAATTATGTTATGGTATTCAGAACATATTTATAGAGAAACGTATATTACTTCAAATGGTGGTATTCAAGAATTAGATGAAATACCTAAATTATTACAGAAAGAATTTATTTTAGAATCAACTAATTTATTTCCAACAATAAAAGAAGATGACTTTATTGTGGAGTCTTATGTTGAAATAAGAATTCAATTAAAGAAAAAACCAACTATTATAGTTAAATTTCCTGTTACTGTAGGATGGGGTAAAAGTACAGTTGAAGGAAATCGTGCACGTGCTGCATTAGATGGTATTGATTTTGCAAAAGAAAAAATAGCATTTTATGGAACACATATGAGACCTACACCAAAGTGTGAAAATATTATTCAAAAAGTAGATGTAGAGGGTGTTCCAGTTTATATAAATCATCTTTGGAGAAAGTGTTATGGAGATGAATCATGTAAGAATTATTTAAATATTAGATATCCGTTACCTGAATGTAAAAGACTACCAAAAGGATGGGGAATTGGAATGGATAGAGGAGAAATGTATTTTATTAATTGGAATAAAAAATATACTACATGGATAGATCCTAGAAGTTTTGAAGAACGACAAATAAAAGTACAAAACATACAAATAACTCTTATCAGGGGTATTAATTTTCCAACATTAAAAGGAAAACAAACACAATTTTGGTGTGTTGTTACTGATAAAGATAATAATCAAATTAAAAGTGGTAAATCTACTAAATCAATTGACCCTGTTTGGGATGGAGATGAAAATACTTTCTTAGTTCAATTAGAAGAAAATAGAGAAAACATTGTGATTGGTTTCTTCAGTTCTAAAAAATTTGTAGGAGCAGTTGATTTACCATTGTGGAGAGTTGTTGAAAATGGAATTGAAGAATGGTTCCAATTAAAAAATTTTGGAGATTTTAGTATCCCTCAAACCGGTGAAGTACTTTTAAGAATTCAATGGGAAGGGGATGTACTTCCTGTACAACCAGAACGGGTGTTAATGAGATTTGACCCATATTATTGTAATACTGAAGTAACAAAAGAACAAGAAAAATTTATTAATAAAATTAAAGTAAAAGAGCAGATGGATAATGTAACATTTAAAACAAGTGGTGATTTTATTACAGGAAAGAAAGACATTTATTTGGAAAGTGGAATTTCAGAAAATAATATTATTATGGGTGTTGCTCCAAATTATGACGTTGACTTAGTTGGAAGTAAAAAAGAAGAAGAGGTATTTGATATTCCTGAAGATGAAGAACTTGTAGCTGAAGAATTACCTACAAATGTAAATACCAAAAAGTTAGAAGATATGAAAAAAGGAGAAGTTAGCTCAAGTAGTGCAATTGAAAGTGAAACTGAAGAATGTAAAAATGAATTAATGTCAAATACTAACCCTAAAAGTTCATCTGAAACAGAAAAAGTAATTGAAGTTGCAAGAGAAGAGTCAAAAAAGAGTATAGAAACTAATAACGAAGAATTACAAAGTACAGAAATAAAACAAAACGAAAAAGAAGAAACTACAATAACGCATCAAGGAGATATCGAAGTTCATAAAACACATGAAGTTGTTAATGACGAATCCCAAAAGGAATGTGAGGAAAATCTAATTAAAAGTGAAGAAGAAACAATAAATAATAAATTATTAGGAACGAAGAGTGAAATAGATAAACAAACCCAAGAAAATGGATTAGATAATAAAACAGAAAAAACTCTTCCTGATATTGATGATACTAAAGAATTGTTTGATCAAGTAAGTCATCAAGAATTAAATAATAAAGAGGATAAACAAGTTTTGGAATTAAAAGAAGAAATTGTAAAAAATCCTCAAGAAAAAGAAGAATTAGTTCAATCATCAAACAAAGAAAATAGTTTACAAGATACTACTCTCCCAAGTAAAAATGTTATTATGACTAAAGAAGAAACAGAAACAGACCAAATTCAAAACGATAACATTGGTCAAGAAGACGAGGATGAAGAATTAGTTGAACTAAAAAAAATTGCTCAAAAAGCAAAAGAATATGAACAAAAAAGAAAAGAAGAAAAAGAAAGAAAGAAACAACAACAAAGACCACAACAACTACAAAAAGAAAAGTCTATTAAGGATATTATTCAATTAAATGAAATGATTACACAACGTGAAAAAGAAGAAGACGACAAAAAAGAAATGATTAGAAAACAAGAGGAAGAAAGAATTAAGCAAGCCCAAAAAGAAGAAGAAGAAAAAGAACATCAAATCATTGAAGAGGAAATGAAGAGACAAGAAGAAAAAATAATAAAACAAAAGAAAGAAGAAGAGGAACGTAAAAAGAAATTAGAAGCTGAAATAGAAATAGAAAAACAAAGCAAGCAAGATCAAGAAAAGAGTAGAACAGAAGAAGAAAAGAATGAAGAATTAAAAATAATCCAAAAAGAAAATGAAGAAGAAGAGCATAATAAAAGAATAAAACAAGACGCAGAAGAAAATGAAAGAAAACAAAAGAAAGAAGAAGAGGAAAAAATTCAAAAAAAGAAGGAAGAAGAGGAAGAGAAAGAGAAACAACGTTTGAATGAAGAAAAGAAAAAGAAAGCATTAGAGCATCAACAGAAGAAAGAAGAACGAAGAAAAAGGAAAGAAGAAAAGGAACAAGCACAAAAAATAAAAGAGGAAGAAGAAAGAAAGAAAAAACAAGAGATGGAATCAAAAGCAGCGTCATTTGGTGTTGTTGACCAAATGAATTTCACCAATTCAGAGAAAGAATTATTAGGATTAATTTAATTATAATATCATTTATCAAATTCAATTAAATGTAAGAGGATGTGTTAATTTATAACACTTCAAAAAATAAATAAGGAAGTAAAGCACCACAAATAAATACCCATAGAAATATTGGAAGTCCAAAAAGAAATACTTCTTTTAATGTATAATGTGCTTTTTGATTGATAATCATATGAGTTGGATATCCAATTGTTAATAAAAATGAAGATGAGGATGCTATCATCATTGTGTACATTGCTGATTTAATTCCAATTAATGAGCCATGTTCTGCACTATCGGAATCTCCATAATAAAGATGCCATACCATTGGAAACATAATATCAACAATAACTGTATTAGCAAATGGTTGAGCAAGTAAAATAGTAGGTAAAAAAATCCCCATTAAAATACCGTATTTTCCTAATGAAATAAACCATTGAGAACAAGATAATGTCAACAATGTACCAATATGTGTTGTTTGTATTGCTGAAGTGATTCCATATGATGCTGCAATAACACAAATTACTTGAACGTCAATAGATTGATAGATTTCTGAGACAGTCATACATTGAGTGATGATAAGAACCAAAGCTGAAGCAAAACCAGAAACAAATAATGGACAAACTTTTGTTGATTCTAAAATACATGGAATAAGAAGACAAAATATTGGAACAATAGTTTTAATAATATTTGTTGGTTGTGGTAAATCAACATCGATTTGTGTAACTAAATGAAAATCATTTCCTTTTAATTCTTGTTTTTGTGGAGAAAGAACAATGTATGTTCTTTCAGAAGAAAGAATATTGATTTGGTTCAACTGTTCTTTCCATTTATTCTCATCTATTGAAATTCCTAAAAATCCAATACCACGTTCATTAATCATTTTAATGTCTTGTCCAATTATTGTGTCTTGAGGACTTAAGGCAATTTCATATACAGTAGCTCCAACTAACTCATGAATTGTTGGATCAGAAGGAACAACTCCATTATATGTCAACACATCTTTTAATATTGAAGATGGAGCAATATAACAGAGTATATCATTCTTTTTTATAATTGTATCGTCTTTAACATCAATATAATTTTCTCCACGTTTAATATAACATAATTTACCATTAGGAGGTTTATTTAATACAGTTTCTCCTAAATGCAATCCAATAAATCTAGATTTTTCTTCTATACGGAAAGTGAATATATATGATTTGTTTGTTTTATGAAATGATTCTTCTTTATGACGACTAAGAATCCCATTTGCAAAGATAATATAAATAAGTGCTGGAATAGAAATGATTGATGAAATAATAGCAATTTCAAAATATGGCATTGTAATATTTAAATGAATACCTTTTTTATTAAGTTCTAATACTTTTGTAATTAACAACGTTCTTGCCCGATGGAATGATGAATTACCAAGTATTGAATTCATTCCACCAAGAATAGCACTAAATGAGATTGGTAACAAAACTTTACTAGGAGGAATTCCAGATGTTTTTGTCCACGTATGAACTATAGACATTGATAATAAAACAACTGGTATATTGTCGATTACAACAGATAACAAAAAAGTAATAAGAACCATAAATAATAATGATGGCCAAACATGTTTTTCATATGTTTCTGGAAATATATTTCTAGTTAAAAATTCTAAACTTCTATTTTTAATTATTGCTGTTGAAAGAATATAAGAAACAATAATTGTTATAACTGATCGATCACTAAATCCTTGAAAACCTTGTGCAGGAGTTATTACTCTACAAGCAATTAAAAGACCAACTATTGCCATCATAACAACTCCAGGATGATATAAATTAGATAAAATTAATGTAATCATTACTCCAACAAATATCAAACAAAGAATTGTTTTGTAAGTAACATCTCCAATTTCAGCCATTTTCCAATCAGTAAAATAAACAACTAATGAAAATGCAATAAAGCACAAAACAAATAATACACAATACCATTTTTCTAGTAAAATCCATCCTATAAATTTAAAGAACTTTAAGAAAGTAACTTTTCTTTCAGCTTCTTCTTTTCGAAAAATTTCAATATCATTATCTGAAATAAACTGATCAATTGGTTCATTAACTTCAATCTCGTTGTCATCTTGTGTTAATTTTTCTTCTTCGGTTAGTAATGGTTCATCCATTTTTGTTTTACTTTTATTATGTAATCTTCTTTTACAGTTTCTTTACTTCATTTTTTAGATTTTCTCTTTTATTATCTTATAACAACATTAATCCCATTTTCAGGGTTTTTTCCTATTGTATTTTTTATTTATGTATTGTAATTAGTTTTTTATATTTTTAAAAATCCTATCATATTAAACAAAAGTTTTAGTAAAGCACTATTCTCAAAGGGATACAACAACAGACTCTTCTTTTTAGTGAATTAAATAAAAATAAATTCAACAACTCTTATTTTATTGTTTTAAGTGAAAAAGCGTAATCTAAAAAAGAAACGGTTATTTTAAGATTAATTAGACAGAATTGATTTATTATAACCAAATTCATTAATAATATAGCAATAATCAATACCAAAATCAGAAGAATAGTTTATTCGAAGAAAGATTTAAAAAAGTCTAAAAACAGACACAAATTCATCTTAAAAAGGTGAACTTGAAAAGAGAGTTAAAAACAAATGACAACAAGTGAATTAATTGATGATTATTTCGCAATCTTGGATATTGATCATGACAAGAAGATTTCTCGGGATCAAGTCATCGAATTATTGAGGGCTCTTGGAAAAGCACCAACTCAACAACAAGAAGAAGCTATTATGAGAGAAGTAAAAGAAGATCTTGTTGGAGTTGAAAAAATTAGACAATTATATAAGAAATGTGAAATGAAAGTACCCAAAGATTTGTATGATGATATGTTTGGTGTATTTACTGCTTTAGATAAAGAAGAAAATGGTCAAATTCATGAAGCTGAATTAAGACAAATTCTTTCAGTTTTAGGAAGACCACTTTCAAATTCTGAAGTTGAAGCTATTATGAGATCTGCCACAGTAAGTAGAGAAGGTTATGTTGATTATAAGGAATTTGCTGATATGCTTGTTAAAGAATATCCACCAGAATAAATAACCTTTTTAATTTCATCGTTTTATTTTAGTTTAATTTTAAATAAAACTGACCAAATTTAAATTATGAAAATGAAAAGTTCATTAGTTAGTTTTGTTGTTCAAGAGCAATTTGTTCAACTCGTGAAACAAAATCTGCAAATTCTATTTTTGTGCATGCTTTTTGGAAGAACGGATTTTTAACTGATGATTCCGTTGAAGGACGTTGGTCAGGATTAACTGATAAACAACCATTAACATAATCTAATAATTCTTTTGACCAACTACCAGTTGTAATAGGAGGAACACCTTTAGTACTAATTTGAAATAAAGCTCTTAAAGGAGGATCATCCATATAAGGAGGATATCCTTCCATCATTTCTCTACACATAATTCCTAAAGACCAAACATCAATTAAACAGTTATAGTCTTTTCCTTTAATAACTTCAGGAGCCATCCAATAAGGTGTTCCAACGATTGTATTTCTTTTTGATTTATTTTTAGTTAATTGAACTGACACACCGAAGTCTGCTAATTTAACTTCTCCATTATGATTAATTAGAATATTATCTGATTTTATGTCACGATGAATTCTATGAAAACTATGAACATATCTTAATGCTTCATTAGTTTCTCGTGCAACATAAGCAATTTGTGGTTCATTCATAGCAACAGATGGAAAGAATTCTAATATTGCAGTTAAATTATTACGATCCATAAATTCCATAGAAATATATAAATAATTGTCTAATTCAAAACATCCAAAGAACCCAACAATATTTGGATGTTTTAATGTTTGCATTATTTTTATTTCTTGTAAATTAATTGAATCATCTTCTATTTTAATTTTCTTCACTGCTCGTTCTTCTTTGGTCTTTTTATCTACACATTGAAATACTACTCCACTTACTCCTTCTCCTATTTGTTGCCAATTATCAAATAATTCTGTTGGATTTCCTGGCTGTACAATATCTTTTAAGGTAATTGTTGTTTCATTTTCTGGCATTGGTGGTGGTCCAAGAGGTTGATCCTCAAGTTTTTTCGTAAATTGAATGACTTGCATTGCTTCTTTTTCATTTGACTTAATTTCTTCTTTTGTAATTCCTAATGCAATAAACATATTTTCCCATTCTGGTGGTATTCCACAAAATCCTCCTTCATTATAAGTAACATGTGTAACATGGTCCATTGTTTCTGGTTCTCCAATATATTTGTTTAATACAACAGAAATGGCTGCCATCCATAACCCACATTCATCCTCAGTCCCACACTATTTGTAATTACTTTTTATTTTTCTTTCTTTTATTCAATAAACAACAAACTTGAATGAAATATGTTTTATTTTGTAATGGTGATACTAATTGAAAACATGGTTGTTTCTTCATTTCAGGACTTCGTGTAATTGTCCCAAATGCTAAAGGAATATATCCCTTTAAATGAAGTTTTTGTTCATCAAAATAATATAATATATCATTTGTTAATACAAACCATCTTTGAAGCCAATTTCGAACTATGTGCCCTCTTTTTACCATAAACCCTTCTTTGATAATTTTATTAGTTGGGATAGAGACATAAGAAAATGTAGCTAAATCAATCGACATATCAATTCTCTTATTATTTTAAAGTTCTTATTACTTTTTTATTCTTTTTTTATTTCTTTTTTTCTAAAAAAAATATTATTTTTTTCTTTTTTAAGATTTTAAATTCATACTATTATTATACACGATTATTTTGAATGTTTCTTATACATAGCATATTTTTATCCATAAAAAAATATAACAAAAAGATATTTTGTATCATTTAAATAAATCATTCATTAGTGAAACGATGGTGGTAAGTTGAGACCATTTCTTTTATTACTGGCTGTGTTAGCTTTGAGATTTTCTAATCGTTTTTGTTGTTCTTGTTCTTTGTTTTGGGCTTGTATTTGTTGAGCCTTTTCTTTATTTAATACAAGACTTGGAAGTGAGAATTGTTTCACACGTAAACAAGAACCAATTTGGAAGTCTATTTGTGGAGAGGGGGATGGTTCTGAATCATTTTTTGTTGTTAATGTATCCCCAAATGGGAAAAGCTCATCACTCTTTAAACCAATTTGGTCTATTTTTTGTTGAGTGTTAGAAATAATGGAATCTTTAATAGTAGAAGATTCTTGTGTATTATTTGTTTGGCTTTGTGGAGGATTATTAAATACAAACTTTGAAAAAGCATTACTGTCTTGTGGCTTTGTATCAGAAGATAAAAATGAACTGAAATCAGTTTTTGGAATACTAAACAAGGAAGTAAGAGATGTGTTTGATTTTGTTTCTTGAGTTGGTTGTGGTTGAGAATTAGAAAGTTGTTGGAGTTTGAGGAGTGGATTATCTTTATCTTCATGGTTAGGCATATCAAATACATTTAAATTTAATTGGGGTATAGGTTTTATATCATCATTTTCCATTTGGCTTTGTTCTTCACTACCACTTTCATTACTATCAACTTGTTCCATACTATGTTCATTTTCATCACTTGTGTTAACTGTTTCATCATTAGTATTCTTATTTTCATCAACTTTTTGAGTTTGTTGTTCATTTTGTTTTAATTTAAGAGTTGTTAAAGGTTCAACTTTAGAGAAATTATCAGTGTTAGATGGTATTTCTTCTTTCTTTTGAGTTGTTTCATTGAAAATATTACTAAATTGAGTAGTAGTAATAATAGGTTGTTTTTGTTCTTGAGCAAATCGTTCAATTGGATTTTGTGTATTTCTGTTTGTGAGTCTATTTTTGAATGCATCAATTGCATCTGGACTTTCTTTGAAAGGGTCTTTACTTTTTTGAAGTTGTGATCGAGTTTCATTTAATTCTTCTTGTAACTTCTCTTTTTCAATCTTCCATTTTTGTGTTTTATTATTAATTTCTTCTTCCATTTGTTTTTGTTTCTGTTGTTGTTCTTGTATTTCAGATTGATACTTTTTGAGTTGATTATTAATATCTGTCTTAAGATTACTTATTTCTTGTTCATTTTCTTTATTTTCATTTTGCATTTTTTCAATAACTTGTTTTTGGGTTTCAATTTCTTTTTCTTTGATTACTAATTGACTTTTTGGAACAACATCTTTTTTATTATACAATTCTTCCATTCTTTTCTTCCATTCATCATTTTCTGCTTGTTCAATTTGAATCTTTTCCTTAAGATATTCAATTTCGATCTTTAATTTATCTTCTTGCTCATTTGATTTAATGAATTTATTTTGAGAATCGTTTAATGAAATGAGCTGATGTAATCTATTATTTTCTTGTTGTAAATATAATATAATGTTTTTACTTGTTTCATCAATTCCTTGTTGATGAATAACATTTCCAATAATTCCTTCAAGTTTAGTTAAGTTCATATTTTGTTCTTCTATTTGTTGTTTAAAGAGTGACTCTTTTCGTTTAAGATCAAGTTGTTTTTCTTCAAATCCTTTTTGTGCTTCAATTAATGCCTGAAGACCAATATTTATTTCTTCATTACTTTTAATTTCTATTTTTAATTCTTTGAGTTTATTTTGAATACCCCTTAATAAAATATCATTCTCTTCTTTTTCTTTCTTTATCTTTGTTAATTCTTCAACATTCTTTTGGATTTCTTGAATTTGAATTTCTTTTTTTTCTTTTTCTAATTTAATAGTTTCATATTCATTTTTAATTGATTGTACTTCTTGTTCTTTTGAATCAGCTATTTCTTTCAATTCAAGTTGTTTTGTTGTAACCTCTTTTTTTAATTCATCAATTTCATTTTTACATTGTTTTTCATTTTCCTCTAATATTTTTCGTTGTTCTTCTTCTTTTTTCAAATCAAATAATAACTCTCCAATTTTTTTTTGTAAACTGGAAGTTGTTTCATCTACACAATCAACTTTTTCTTTATTTTTCCAAATAATTTGAACAAGTTGATTTTGTTTTGCAATGTTTTCAGTTTGTTCCTTTTCTAAGTACTCAACTCTCTTTTGAAGACATTGTTTTTCAATTGTTAACATTTCAATAGTATCTTCTTTTTCTTTAACAAGGTCTATATTTGTTGAAATTGGATCAAATTTTCCTTCAAAAGCTTTTATCTTTTGTTCTAATACATTATTTGTACTTTTCAATGACTCTAATTGATTTTCCAAGTCAACTTTTGCAATTGTTGATATTTTAAATTCTCCTTGAAGTTCTTGCCACATAGATTTCCAGTGTTCAGTTTCTTGTTTAGCAGAAACAACAACAGACTGATAATAATTTGAGTCTTTAATAAGTTGTTGTTGTTTATTTTCCAAATCTTCATTTTCTTTTTGAAGTCTAGTAATTTCTTCTTTTCTTTTTTCATTTAATTCTTCACTTACATTAAGTTGTCTTTTCATTTCAGATAATTTGATTTCAGTTCTACTATTATTGAAAAGAGCATCATTGCTGAGTTGTAATTTGAGTTGGCTGTTTTCTTGTTGAAGTTCATACATCTTTTCGACTTTCTTTTTCATTTCATCCCAATCTGATGATTCTGATGATTTTTTAAGTTCTTCAATCTTTTTCTTTTTAAGACTATCTAATTCAATTTGAGTATTTGCCAACTTTTCTGTCAACTCTTCATTTTCTCTTATTATTTCTTGTTTAAATGGTAAATTGATTTTAAAATTATCATTGTCATTACCTTTTTGTTTCACAAGTGCATTTTCAAGTTCTTCATTTTCTCTTTTCAATAACTCTATAATTTCATTTTTTTTAATTATCCCTTCTTCACATCTTTTTAGTTCATTGATAGCTTCTTCTTTTATTTTCTGAATGATTTCTTTGAGTTGAATTTCTCTTTCTTCTTTAGAAAATACATTAATTCCTTCTTCTTCTAATTCTTGTTTTAGGTATTGAACAAAAAGAATATGTTCATTTTCATTGAATTTATTAAACTCATCTAGTAAAATTGATGCTTCCATTCTTTTATTTTCTGGGATTAACTTCAAAATTCCATCAACAGCAACACTATTTTGAATATGCATTTGTTTAGGAGGTTCAGTTTCTTTAATTGCATTTTGGACTTGAAGTTTTGCGATTTCTTGTGACAAAGTCTCAATTTTTTGGAGATTATTTATTTCGTTTTGTTTTAATTGTTGAATAACCGACTACGAAATTAATTTCAAATACGGTTTATAAGAGAATTAAATAACTTTTTTTTTCTATAAAACAAACTTGTTGAGAATTATATAATACATTAAATTTTTCACGGTCCATAAAATAATGTGTTTGTGATTGATTTAATTCTTGGTGGGTTTGTTTTAACTGGTCAATTAGTAAAGATTTTTCTTCAAGTAATTTTTGAATAATACTTTCCTTAGTAATTTCCTCCATTAGGTTTTTCTAAGTTCAATAAGTTTTTGTTTTTTTAAATTTTATTTGTTATATATAACTTATTAATATATTCTATAAATAGAATTGAGAAAAGAAAAATGAAAAAACTAAAAAAGAAAAGGTATTGTGTTACTTTAAATCCAATGAACAATAAGGGAAATGAAGCTAAAACTAATTATTTTTATAAGATATTAAAGACGATACGTGAATATATTATTCAACAACTAAATGATTTATTGAGATGGTTATTTGGAGAAATGATTCAAAATGAATGTATTGAAAATAATATTGAAATATTTGATGATGAAGATATACTAGATCTTGATTGTATACCTCGTGGATCAGAAAAATTTTTAAACCAATATGATCAAGATGAATTAGCCGACAAAATGTTAAAATATAAAGTTAAATATGGTCCAAATTCAGGAAGTTCTATTAAAGAAGTTTTAGAAAGAAAAGGTATTAATAATCTCAAAATTGAGTTTGATACATCTGATTATTATGTTCACAAAGTTTGTTTCTTTTAGTTGAATAATAAATTACTAATATTTCTTTAAATGAAATGAAAAAAAAAATAATATATATTAATAAAATTTATAGGCACAACTATTTAATGAAAAAAAAGATTCAAATCATTTGATTGGACAATTATTTCTTCGGGTTAATAATAAATTTAATATCGTTAATTGTAAACGAGTTGTAATGCCTAATTTTTTTGAAAATGCATTTAAAGAAGGTGTTTATTTTATGGAACAGAAGTTATCAAAAACTGAATTAAATTTAACAATTATTGAATGGTTACGATTACAAGACTATAGAATAGAACCAAAAGATGGAACTTTAATGCTTCCAGGTCAAATTCATCCTGGTTTAGGTATTGGTCATGAAATTGAAGAGATGTTAATGGATTTTATTTCTCGGAAAGGAAGAGATGGACCATTGAATACACCTGAACATTGGTACAATGCTTATCTTTATTATATGCGATCTCATTTTCACTTTTTAAATCCTGCATTCGAAGGGCTTTTTCGTTCAATCAATGCAAGTATAAAAAAAGATATTGAAGAACATAGACTAACAGGAGTAGCATGGGCTATTGCACAAGGGAAACTCTATCACAGACCAACAAAGGAACAAATTATTTGGGTAGCTTTAGAACAAGTTTATCCATTATCTCGTCGAATGAAAAATTATTTTGGTCAAGAATATACAGAAATAGTAATGAGAAATTATCATCCAAAAGATTACTTCATTGATTGGGATGATACATTGACTAAGTAATATCAATTCATGTATTTGTTAAGTCATAATATTTCTGTTTTATTAAATTTAGTTATTAAAAACAGTAAAAGAAGTATTATTTATTTTTTTTTACTACGGTATTTACGAATTGCATCTTTCATATCTTCTTCTTTAAATACATGAGGAGCAACTTCTACGAGCCATGATGGATCAATTTCAGAAACTTGACGAACATATTCTTTTGTTGTTAGAACTAATTCATAAAATAAAATCCAACGAGGATTTTTATTAAACATACTTGAACTAGGATGAATTTCTATTGTTCTATTTTGTTTTATTTGACGATAAATTCCTTCTTTAGTTAATTGAGCTGTATTAAGGAAATACCCACTTAACAGTGCTTTAAGTATTGACACGTTATCTTTTGATTTGAACATTTGAATATCAACTCGTTCCATTATACTAACTAATTGGTCTCTAATATCATTTGCTTTATTTAATGCTCGTGCTTGAAGAAAATTGTCTCTACACCATCCATCTGATTTTCCAGCATCAACCCATGAATTATAAACACCTAAAAGAGTAAGATGGTCTCCTTCAGGTCTAACAAAACCCTTTTTAATTGTATCTGCTATTTGGGCTTTTTCTTTTGGTCTATAAAACAATTCTCCTGATATTTGTAACATTGCACAAATTGTTGCAATTTCTTCAGAACATTGATATTGTTCAGATCCAATAAGTACTCTTGCTAATGTTGGTGCTATAGGAAATTCTGCCATTTTTTGCCCTCTTTGAGTTAATTCTCCCTTTTGGTTGAAAGCACCTAATGCATATAATTCTTCAAGAGCTCTCATTAATGATTCAGGACTTGGAGAATCCATAAAATCAAAGTGAAGAATATCATCAATTCCAAGTGTTTTTAATAATAAAATTACAGATGAAAGATTAGATCGAATAATTTCTGGTGGTGTTGATTCTGGTAATTCTTTAGTAAAGGCATCTTTAGTATAAAGTCTATAACACTTCCCAGGAGATACACGACCAGCTCTTCCAGCTCTTTGGTCTGCAGATGCTTTACTAATTGGAACAATTTTTAAACTTTCCATTCCAGTTCTAGAATTATATTCATTAATTTTACAATACCCAGAATCAATAACATAAACAATTCCATCAACTGTAAGTGATGTTTCTGCAATATTTGTTGCAACAACAACTTTCCTTGCATTTGGAGGTGTTGGAATAAATATTTGAGCTTGAATATCACTAGGTAATGCAGCATAAATTCTTGTAATGATCAATTCATCCATTTTTGTACCATATCCTCTTGTCCTTTCTTTAATTGCTTCAGCACACTCATCAACTTCTTCTTGTCCTGTAAGAAATATTAAAATATCACCTTTTGGCATTGTTGTATGAATTTGAATAGTTCTATTTACAGCAGCAACTAATGGATCAGGTTCAGGCTCTGTTAAATATTCAATTGTGACAGGAAATCTTCTTCCTGGAATAATAAATACTGGTGCATTATCAAAATACTCAGAAAATTTTTGAGTTTCTAAAGTGGCTGATGCTATAATCAATTTTAAGTCTGACCTAAATCTAATAATATCTTTTAATAATCCAAATAACAAATCTGTTGCTATTGTTCTTTCATGTGCTTCATCTATCATTATACAACTATAATCAGATAAATCTGGTTGATTCAAAAATCCTCTTAATAACATTCCATCTGTCATATACTGAATTAATGTTCTATCAGATGTAACATCTTCAAATCGAACTGTATATCCAACCATTCCTCCTAATCGAGTTCCAACCTCTTCGGAAACTCTTCTTGCAATACTCATACAAGCAACTCTTCTTGGTTGTGTAACTCCTATTTTTCCTTTTTTACAATATCCATCTTCATATAAATATTGAGGTAATTGTGTTGTTTTACCGCTGCCTGTTTCTCCTGCAATAATAACAATTTGGTTATTTCTTACTAATTTTAAAAATTCTTCACGTTTTTGATATACAGGTAAAGATTTTCTAATTTCATTCATTTCATCTTGTTTTGTTCTTTTTGAAGGGATTTCTTCTAATTCTTTTGCTCGTAATTCTAATATTTCCCGTTCGAGAGAATCTTCATCTTCTTGAAGTATCATTTTTTCAAAAGAACCATCATCTATTTTACTTCGTTCATCTATACTTTTACCAATAAAAATAGCTTTCTTTTGAGTATTCATCCATTGTTCATTATCTTCATCTTTATAATTATCATAAATTGGTTTCTCTTCTATAACACTACCTGCTTTAGGAATATTATATTGAGGCTCATTAATTTGTTCTAAGGCAATGCGTTGTTTAGCTAAATTATAAATATCTATTTTTCTTTGTAATTCTTTCTTTTCTGTTTCTGTTAATTCATTTTCATTGAACATTTCTTTTTCATCTTCAATTTCATCTCTTATTTCTCTTAATTTTTGGAACTCTCTTTTTGGAAGATATTGTTGTCTTGATTCAATACGTTTTTCATCCCATTGATTTGGTTCAGATGGAGAGTTTTTTGACATATGAATCTCTTTAATTTCTTTTTTTTTTTTTTTGATATTTTTAAATTTTCAAAATTCTCATCTAAGAAATAAATAAATCAATTGTTTTGTTTGTTATGAAAACTTTCATCATTTGGTTAAGCTTCATTGTTTTATGTTGTCATTGTCAAGAAACTCAAAAGTATGTTAATGAAGTTAAAGAAAAATTTATTGATGAATTAAAACAAGGAATGGAGGGAATTCATAAACTCAAAAAAGACTTAGTTTTTGCTTATAACCATCCACATGGAAAAACTAGAGACTATTCTAAAGATATTCCTGAAGAAGATGAAGAAATTACTACATCATCTGATTCAGAGATGAATGAACAAATAGTAAATATTGATCATGGTTTGTCATCAAAATAACATAGTTAATAAATAATTATTTTGTAGATTGTGGAAGTGGTGAAAAGGAATATTACAATTTAAATCTTAGTACATGTGGTGGACATTATACTGTTAGAATTAATGAATATTTTATTGATCAAGAATATTTCAATGCATCGGAAATTACTGTTACAGATTCTACATGTGAAACAACAGAATGTACTGTTAATGAATTTTTTATTGATGAAAATCTTTTTGAAATAGGTCAATTCAAATTTAATAAATGTGTTATCTTCAAATATAATAATAAGAATAATGATACTCGTTATATGTCGGAAGTTGATATTTCTTTAGTCTGTGATAATACAACACTTATTGATTCAACTCATTATGCATATAATTGTTCAACAATGAATGTTTGTTTATAATTAGAGTTATTTTATAAAATGAAATAAAAATTTAATGATCTGTACAGCTAGTTTGTGATGATAAAGTTATTTCTAATCATTTTTATTCCACTACTGATTATTCACAATTTAAAAATTGTTTTACTGTACCTGTTCTTTGTAATGATAAGAGTCAATGCACTCAAATTACTGTTGATTGTCCTGAAGAATATCATTGTGATATAAAATTTAATAATACACAACCTTGTAATATAAGTTGTAATGAAACAAGATTAGTATCACATTGTCTATGTCCACCAGATAAAAAAGGAAAATGGTGTGAAGAACAATCTGATGTAGAATGTAATTTAGTTAGATTAGAGTCAAATGTTCAATCATTTTCACAAAGTAAATACCTTGACCAAGAAGATCCTAACGAAGAATTTGCTATTCAAATATATCCTTTTGACGGTGTTAATGATATAGAAATTTCTGTTTATATCAACTGTACTAATCAAGTAAAGTATGACAACCAATACCAGTATTGGATCAATACATCTTCTCTTATTTTTTCATCCGACCCTGAACGTCAGTTACAAGTAAACGTTATAAATTTTTATCACTTTTATGATCGGTCTGAAAATTTTGCTTCAAACATTACAAAAGAACAATATCTAGCACAACAACCAATTAAATTTATAATCAACTCTACGTTCTTAACAACAACAAAGTCATGGAATGGTGATTTGTTATATGCAGAAATTGTTATTAACCCTCATTTATCTTCTACTTCATTTGCATTATCAAAATTCTATATTCAAAGAAAACATACTGAAGAAAAGTACAATAAATATAATTGGATAAAACAAAATTGGTTGGTTTTAATTCTCGTCACTGGTGTTTTTCTTCTCATTCTCATGGCATTATTATGGTATTATTGGAAAAACAAACAAGAGTTTGTTCATGTGAAAGAAGTTTAACTTACTTATTTTTGTTTTATTCATTATTTGACTATATAAAGATAAACAAAAATAACTATGATAACTAAGAATAACTTAAAACGGTTATTTTAGAGTCAAAAAGTTAGAGTTTATTATTTATAAAAATATTGTATCTAATTTACTCAGAAAAAATTTTATAAAAAACGTTAATAATAAAATTCATATATTTAGATATTATAATAAGTGAGATTTTATTATTATGTCATATTCAATATAATTTACTTCTTTTACCTTAAACTCTTTCTCTAATATAAGTTTAATAGAATACCATGTTTTTTAATTTTTTTTGTAACGAACTATTGTTTAAATAATTAAAACATCCAAATTAGTTTATTTCGTGAGTTAAAAGTATTTTATATTTATCTGATTATAAATTAAATATTAATCAATTTATATTGTTTAGTAATAGTTTGTATTTATTGTTTCTCTTCATTATTATTGACTATTTATTCTTTTGTATTATTTCAATCATTTGCTTTACTTCATTAATAGTATTTTTTATTTCTATTTGTTTTTTTTTTTTGAATCTATATCAAATGAATTAAATATTAAATAATATTTTGATATGTTTGATTTGTATAATTTCTTTTTTTCTATATTTCTTCTTTTGGTTATCTTTCATTCTTTTTCTACATAATCTTCATGAAATAATTATATTTTTATTGTTATTTTTATTACAACTTTACATTTTGTTTGTTTTGTATTCTTCTTTATTTTATTCTTCTTGTTATTTTATATTTTTGTTTGTTTTCAACAACTTCTTTCATTTATTTTATTCGGGTACGAAAATTAGCAAAGAAAAAATGCATCTAAATAATTTACAAAAAAGAAAAAAGATGCAAAAAATTGCATCCAATATTTATGTTTATATTTTATAATCATTTGTATTCATTTTGTATGAAATATTAATGAAATATATTATTTGATTATTTATATTTATTTTTATTCTTTTTATTCTTTTATTTATATGTTATTTATTTTTATATTTTTATATATTTATTTCTCTGTTTATATTATTTATATCATTGTATTCTTCTTATTATCTATATATTATTATATTCTTCTTATTTTATTATTTTATGTTTATATTATTTAGATTTTCTTATTGTTATTCTTTTCTATCTAGATGTATTTGTTTATTCATCTTTATCATTTTTATATTATTATCATTTATATCTATTTTCATTTTATATTTATTCTCTTTTGATTTATATTAATATTAATTTTATATTTTATACTTTGATTTTATTATTATATCATTTATTATCATTTCTCGTTTTATTTATCATTTATTCTTATTATTCTTTTGTTTTTATATTCTATATCATATATTCATATCATTTTCATTTATATTTTATCACTTATTATATGTTATAATAACATAACACATATGATTGAATATATAATAAATATCATAATGAAATTATACATATAAATAATAAACATAAAAAATAATAAAATATTTTCATCAATAAAACAATACCAATTATTTTACATCATTAGATTAGACACTTTTTATTTCATATTTCTAATTTTTACAATAAAAATACACTTTTTATTTCTTCTTTTCTTCTTTTATTACCTCTTTGTGATTTATTATTTTTATATTCTTCTTCTACTTTCTTTTTATTCTTTTATATCTTTTTATATTCTTTTTTCTATTATTTGCTTTTTTTCACTACCGAAGAGAATGACAAAATATTCAAATGCTTTGATGTTAAAAATATGTTCATTTCATAAAATGTGTTTGTTCATTGGTTAATAAAAATCAATTCATATTTAGATAAACATTAAACCAATTATCAAAATGCTAAAATATTGATTTATTTTAAAACATCAAAGTAAATTCAATAGAGATAATGAATAGTATCAATATATCATTGTACTTGTGTTTAATTGTATTGAAGATAATTGTTATTTCAATGTTTTTATAAAGAGACAAACACAACTTTTAATGCTTTCAGAGATAAATAACAAAACAATTTGTGAATGAACAAATAAGTATTGAACTTATAACTAAAATTATATTGACATTAACAAGTGATGTACTTATAATGCCAAATAACTATAAATCATTCATCATTACACTTTAAAATAACTAGACTTAAATAAACGAGATAATCGCCTTATATAATTAAAAACTTATTGTTTTAAATGACACATAATAAGAATCACTACCATAACAACAACAATTCATTTATCAAATGTAATACAAAAAGTTAATAGTCATTAAACAGAAATATAATAAGTAATAATGAATAATGGAAATTCGTTGAATTATAATTTCCATTTATAATAAAGAAATATAAAGAAATTCAGAAAAATATAAAACATTAATTTATAAATTTAAGAAACTTAAAAAAAAAACAAAAAAACGAAAAAGAGAAGAGATGGA